AAGGGGGGGAGGGGGGCGAGCCCTGAAATAGAGCACCCTTTTTGGATGCGAGAGGGATGGAGAAGGGACGCCCGTAGAGCGAGCGTCCTACCCAGAGAGAGAAGGAAATTGCCTGGGGCAGCCCTGATGTTAGAGCGCTCAGAAGCGGAGAAAGGGAGACGGAGGGCACTCTATGGAGAGCGCCCTGAGCCCTGTAGGTTCCCGGGGACAGATACGTGCCAGGGCCCGAGTATATTCGAAGTGGGCAGCGCACATAGGCAGCACGACGACCTTTCGAAGATAAAAGGAGGGGCTTCACTTTAATATCGCCAGTTTAATTGAATTCGTTTATTATAATTGTTACACGGTTAAATTGAAACAATAACGAGATAAAGGACTAGAATTTCATAATCACTTAAGAATCTTGCCTAATTGGCGAAATACGCGAACAATTATAAAAGATATCGTAAAGCTACAGAGAGGTTTACATATATTTCGCCAATTTTACTATGGCGACGAGAAAACGAAGAGAGAAAAGAAAAGTTCCGAACGAGCCTTTCACAACAACATAACTTGGCGCGCAACTAGGAGATTCCTAGCTTCGTAATTTTTAAACCGCGCGAGGAATAGCACTGAGATTCTAAAGCCACAAGATTTCAAGTTGTCGTACACAATACACTGGTTTTCGGAGATTATCACGATTCAGTGCTCACTTACGCACGAAAAGACTTTATTTTAAACCGACGCCTGAAGGGCTTAGTCACTTACAATTAGAGGTAGAATTTATAAGTATTCGCGTCTTGATATTGAAAAGATTCTAAGTACCAGTTCCTCGCGAGACTTAGCCGAGCGCGACGAACGAACGAAATTTTATAAGTTCCACGGCGTCGTGCTTACCATGTATGCTTATCGGATATATATATATATGGGGCATTCTTTCTCAAATCAGCCACCCTCTGCGTATTTTATTTTTAAAGATAAAATTTTTTTCGAAGCGTCAAAATTTCCGCCTAAACCTCAATTTTTTGATGCCGTATGGTGTTTTTTATTTCCTTCTTATGGGTGTGACCATACGTTAAAAATAATGCTCAGTGTTGCGTACGAGGCCCTTGAGTATCCCCGTGACCCCAGCAACCGGCGACGAATAAGCCGCGACAATAACATTTGGT